GACTGACCCACGAAGTCAGACTGACCCACGAAGTCAGGACCACACAAAGCTGTCTGAAGCGGAGGCAAGAAAGCGAGCGGAGATGCGAGGGGCAGAGGCGGACAAGGAAACTGAAGCTATGATTGAGGACCTAAGTGAAGCTGTGATTGCATCTCTTAAAGGAAGGTCTGGAAAAGACTTAGAAGAAGCACTGTTTGCAGCGGTTCGGGAGGAAAGCGAAAAACAGGGGTCGAACACGAGGTCTGAGACAGAATCGATACGGCGAGTTCGACGAACTCACACTCAAAGGCTTTGTGAAATTGAATCACGTCGTCGTAGTGACATGGAAGTTGGAACGAGGCAATCAATGAGTGAGAGAAGGACCCAGACATTACCAATATGGAGGTCCGGAAGCCCGAACGTAACGACTGAAACGAGAAGTGAGACGCGAAGTATAACTCGAAGCGAAACTTTGCCTGGAAGAAGACGACAAATTGAGATTGAGATTGGAATTGGGGAGTCGAATGATGAAAAACGAATGAAGATGACAGGAGGAGGAGCAGTAAGACGTACTCAATCGGAACATTTATCCGAACGATTAACTCAATCAGAGATTAATCGACGACTTGAAATGGAGAGAGAGACACAATTGAGACGGACCGTGAATGATAGACGTACACCACCGTTACGTCCATGGAGGAGCGGAAGGCCTGAGACATGGACAGAGATACGAAATGAAACTCGAAGTTCAACGTTGCCTAGAAGAGGAAGACAGCCAGATATTGAAAATGAAGAACGGATCAAGCTGGAGACTCAAACCGGAGCAAGACGACGCACTCAATCAGAAAAGGTAATTTCGGGACGAACTGAAATAAACAACTCGAGAACATGCCAGGCAGAAATAGAGATTGGACCATCGGGGGTCGAAATTGAACGATCGGGGGTCGAAATTGAACGATCGGGAATCGAGATTGAAATCGGGACCACTGAGTCATTAAGACGTACTAAGTCAGAACGAACAACTGAATCAGAACGACGGCAAGAAATCGAAATAGAAAAAGAATCGGGAACAAGACAAAGGGAGACCGAGAAGAGAATTGAAATATCACGTGCAGGAACGATCGAGGAGACCAAGGTAGAAAGTGGCGGAGAAGATTCGTTGAGTACTAAGAGGCAATTGGAGACAGAAACGGAGGCGGAAACACGAACTGTCCGACGTACTCGATCAGAAACAAGAAGTGAGTCAGAAAGACGAACTCAGTCAGAAACACGGCGACGAATCGAAACGGAGAGAGAACTGGCAACAAGGCGAACTCAAATAGTGACGGAAAGACGAATTGAAATATCACCTGAATCATCACCTGAAAGGAGGACTGGAAGTGCTGAAGAAATACGAACCGGAACTAGTCATGCAGGAAGGACCGAGGGGCGACTGGAGACAGAGACAAAGGTAGAAAGTGGTGGAGAAGAATCGTTGAGTACTAAGAGGCAATTGGAGACAGAAACGAATGCGGAAACACGAACTGTCCGACGTACTCGATCAGAGACAAGAAGAGAGTCAGAAAGACGAACTCAGTCAGAAACACGGCGACGAATCGAAACGGAGAGAGAACTGGCAACAAGGCGAACTCAAATAGTGACGGAAAGACGAATTGAAATATCACCTGAATCATCACCTGAAAGGAGGACTGGAAGTGCTGAAGAAATACGAACCGGAACTAGTCATGCAGGAAGGACCGAGGGGCGACTGGAGACAGAGATAAAGGTTCTAAACGGAGAAGAGTCGGTGAGCACTAGGAGGCGATTGGAGACAGAGACAGAGACAGAACAAAAAGTGACTGAAAGGCGAACTCGTTCGGATACTCGTCGTCGAGCCGAGTTGCTAAGAGAGACAGGAGCGCGACGATCAATGATGGGGAGGCAAACGGAAGTAAGGGGACTTAGACGGACTAAATCGGAAACCCGAAAATCACCCCTGATCAGAACACGACAACTCAGACGTACTAGATCAGACGTTCGTAAACGAGCTGAAAATTTAAGGG